AACTTTGTTTTGTAATTTCTACTAAACGAAGGCCCATTGGCACAAACGCCTTTAGGGTTTTTATTAGCTACATGTAAGCTATCGAACGCACTATGACTCGTTGGAAAAGCGATTTCCTAATTGGCGTCATCTCCTTGTGAGTCTATCAGATATCATCCCCAAATATGAAAAGATGCAATATGAACGAGTGAGCAACAACGAAGACGAAGACGCACTAGGTACAATGGTATTCATTCTGTCAATCAGTCGAAACACACGCCTCCTACAGGATTTGAGAATAAAATCAATGGGATAACCATTCTGCACTAAAATGCGGAAGACAAACGCAAAATTCCTTTCATGGAACAAAGGATGGCTCAAAAAAATTACTCTATCAACTAATCCTATGATCGTACCAATTTTATGCTGCAATGGATGGAAAGAATTATAATTAAGAAGGCGCCAGAGTAAGTAGCCTTGTGGTACCAGTCAAACCTGAGTCTGTTATCAACAATCTCCATGGAGGTTTCCAAAATTTGGATTTGGGCGAGGATGGCAAGATTAATTTTTTGGAAACATCCATGGAGATTGTTGATAACAGACTAGGGTTTGATTGGTACCACAAGCTTACTTACTCTGGCCGCCTTCTTAATTATAATTCTTTCCATCTATTGCAGCATAAAATTGGTACGATCATAGGGTTAGTTGATAGAGTAATTTTTTTGAGCCATCCTTTGTTCCATGAAAGGAATTTTGCGTTTGTCTTCCGCACTTTAGTGCAGAATGGTTATCCCATTGATTTTATTCTCAAAACCTGTAGAAGGCGTGGGTTTCGACTGATTGACAGAATGAATACCATTGTACCTAGTGCGTCTTCGTCTTCGTTGTTTCCCACTCGTTCATATTGCATCTTTCCATATTTGGTGATGATACCTGATAGACTCAGTGAAATATTTAAAAAATTTAATAATGTTCAATGTTTCTGTATTATGAACAAGCTTTTAGGTTTAGTTCGTGTTCATAAGGATATATTAGGACCTTACCTTAGTTTCCGCCCGCAAATGTTAGATGGCAATGCAAACAGTTCTAGTAGTCATTACTAACGAAACAGGTAGTTTGTGATTAATTTCGACATTTCTCGATAACATTCAGTCAGCATACACAATTATTTTCCTAAACAACAATTTCTTTTGCTTTGTGAAAAATGGAACGCGATAAAGTGTTTTTTCGACATGTGCTTTTGCACT